AAATATGAGGTTTTCGACTGTCGACCGACTGGAGAAAATTTATTTGAACGAGCCAAACCGATTCTGGTCTTAACTGGCACAAACTGCCCCATTCCAGGTTCAGATTATTCCTGCCTTCCTTTACATTAATGATCATACAGTGAAGTGCTTTCTTCCAGTCAGATTACATGGCAAAATGAGATTCCTGTCGTGACACGGAGTTTCCATAATCTGAGACCAGAGTAACAATAAAGAAGAAAAGAAAGAAGCAAAACACTGTTGTACATTCATCCTCCTAAATGGCTCATTTTCCTTTCTCTGTACAAGTACTTGTTTCATGTGCATTCTGCTTGCACCTGTGTTTTTTTTCCTGTTTTCAATTCCTCTTTACCTCTTTTCCTGTCAACTCTGTAAACTTCTGAACAGGAAAATATTTTATGGAAGTCGAAAATGGGAAAAGGAAAAATATTTCTAAATGAAAATAATTATTTTTCTTTGCAAGGAAGTGCATTGTGAGCAGGATTTTCCCAGTATTTTACTGTGCATTCAGTTTAGAGAACAAAATCATTTCACTATAATGAGAATCTTATTTCATATGGTTTCATTATGATAATGATGCCTCACTGTAGTTGCTAAAGAAACTTCCAGTTCATTGTTTGAATTTTCCGCGACAACAAATTCATTGCCTTAATTTTCAGAAACTGGTGCAGAATCTTACCCTGCTTTCACAACAACATCCATAAAATCTTTCGAACTCGTCGCAGCTTTTGCTCGTTTCGCTGCCAGTTTTCGAAATTAGGCGCCATTTGGTTTCTGTCGCTTCGTTTTTTACGATATGGGCGCCTTTGGCGATAAATAGCAAAACACCCAAATTGAAGAACGCAGAACGCAAACTTGCTGATCAATACAAATTCTTGAACGATTAAATGACTCAATCACCGATTGACGGGTTGAGCAATACAAATCTTCCGGGATTTCATCACACTGGTGCTCACTGCAGCAAGCTGCGAGCCTGTGGCATCAACCGTTACTAGAGTACTGTATGTATCGATTTTCAACACCGTTTTGGAATTTGACTGAGTAAAGTGACTTGCTTATATATATATATATATGAGTAAAGAACGTAGATATGAAGAGTAGTTGGCCAGTTTAGCAATTACCCGAATGGGCAGTGAAACTGCACTCATTCAAGGTGTGCCTATAGATTGAATAGAAGAAGACTGCAATTTGCGTCCAGCAGTTTATGGTATTCATGGCTTTGTAAGTTGACTGTATTGCTGTTTTTGGGTGGCTTTGGCTGGGAGGGGCATTGCAGTCTTCTTCTATTCAATCTATATATGTATATATATATATATGTCAAGGAGTACTTTACAAAATAATAGACCTTGTCCCAAGTTCAATATTAAGAAATTATACTATGGTATAATCAGTTTTCATCTCTCTGACTGTCTTGAAATCTAGGGTACAACATCCATGACACAGCTAAATCATGTAAAAAAACATTGAATAAAACAGTGTACAGGGAGTGGCATAAGTTCTGGAACCAGAATTTTTTCATAATTTCTGTCTTTGAAAAATTTTTTTCATTCAAAATTGCATTGTTTATCAATTATAATAAGTTTTCAAGTGCTGTTTCTCGATTTGTCTAAGCTTTTGGATATTTTCAGAACATTTTTCGGTCCCTTATCCTCTTTTCTTGAGATGTCTAAACAAGATCAGCGAATCACAATAATCAAGCTGCACAAGAAGGGCAAAAGCAATGTCGAAATTGTACATCTGCTTGAGATTCCAAGAAAAACAGTCTGGCAAGCTGTCGTTCGGTTTCAAGACCTGAGTACTGCTGAAGACTGACAAAGATCTGGCCGTCCAAGAACCGCGAACACTCAAATGAACAAGAAAGCCATCTAATCTCGGATCAAAAGAAATCCAAGATGTTCAATGAGGAAGATGGCCAGAGAACTGAAGATCGACAAACAAACTGAGCGTCAAGGACAAGGACGAAATCTACCTTCCCTCTTACAAGCAGCAGAGGGCCCCAAAGATTGGTGGAAAAAATGATGGAACAATGACTTCGCAAAGGAAAATTAATGAAACGTCTGATTGCAAATGTCCGCCACAAAATGATTCACTTTTTGGATAAGAAACTTTTCACCACAGTGGAGGTCTTCAACCTGTAAAATGTTCATGTCTTTTAGAAGAATCGCTCAGCAGACAATATCGACTGTTGAATCATCCAAAGGCAGCAACCTCCACCTTTGGTCATGGTGTGGGGAGGGATTTGCACAACTGGAAAAACTCCACTGATCTTCATTCAGAGTGACATGAAAATCAATACTCAAGATTACATTGATACTGCCTTGGAGAAAGTCCTCATTCCATGGGCTCAACAACATTTTGGACAAGGTGAATGGATGTTTCAACATGACTGCACCATTGCACAAAGCCAAGATCACTCTAGTTTCTCCGAAAGAATTTCCAAGATTCTTCACCCTGCAAGCCAACTCACCCAACATGAACCCAATGGACCATTCCATTTGTGGAATGCTGCAGCAAAAGGTTTGCTCAAAAGTTCACAAAAGTTTGGATTCATTGAATCTGACCTGTGCATGGGGAGAAATAGACAAAGTGCAGTTGCACACCATCGTCAACTAGTTTCCTCGTCGTTTGGACGCTCTCACTGAAGCCAAAGGCGGTCATTTTAAAAATGGTTTTCAAAGCAGTGTTCTGATATCTCTCCATCATATTATTCCTTCAGCTGGTGAATTTTTGTTTTGTTTCCATTTAAAGATTTTGAAAGAGTGGTTCCAGATCTTTTGCTGTACCCTGTATATGAGTTATCTGTAGTCAAAGGTGTCAACAAAATCTCATTACAACAATCAACGGCTTCTTACATTCCCAAGTCTTGCGAAATATACACTCTGTGTACGACTCTTCCATGATCTTAGATGCACCATTGGCTGTACAACAGTAGGCACAACTTAGCTAAAGATATACATTGCTATGAAACAAGGCATTCCATTCTAGAAAATGTGGTGCATTTGAAATCTTTAACGAATTAGGATATAGGTTAATTAAAGCAACTTCTGTGAGAATATATAAGCAGCTACCCCTAGCTCTGAAAGAAATTCCAATTCTTATGAAGCTTAAAACAAATCTAAAGGATCACTTTCCTTTTAATCAGATTTAATATATCTTCATAAAAAATATACAAATTAATTTGAAAACACTGACTTACTGATTCTTACTTGATAATTGTAAACCAACCCAGGCAGACCAGGATAAGCCACTGACATTTTGGCAAACCCTAAAATCAAAGCAGCACTAATGCATTATCCATTCATTTATTCTTTTACTCTCTCTCCTCCAAAATTCACCCACTGCATGCATTTATGCTTATGCTGCTTGTCTTTTTTTTGTGCATATGTGCACATCATGATCATCAACTTATCCCACACTAAAGTTCAGAGTGTATATTTTACTGTGTGTGTTCTTTAAAAAATGAAGCTGCTCTTTCTCTCTCATTTGAGATAGATGAATTTCCTCATGTTCGGGGCTATTTAGGTCATCCATTTGAACACTTCTGTTGCATTCCTGGATATTCTACAATGGTAAATTGTGTGAAGTGATTATACTGTTACACTGAACTAAGGTTGGCAATTTGGATATGAAAACCTGAGTTCTATCAGCCTTTCATTTATTTCAGCCAAGAATTAGTACTTTTTTCAACTTTTGGCTCCAATACATTAATCTTCCAATTGGAAATCTCTTACCTAAGGAAAGCAACAGTCTTTTCATGATATAAACTACCTGCATCTCACAATTCATCTCTGTGATTTCTTCTCTTCCTTCAATTTAGTATTGTGCCATCACTGCTAATAGGCTAACTTATATGCTGTAATTATGCTCTGGACATTGAGTTTATTGGTTAGCATAGGAAATAAGTGATTGAGATAGATATTTTAAATCCATGTAATGTACATAAATGATAGGGTGACAGAATTATATATGAATGTTTAGTGGAAGGGAATGGTCAATAAAGATATTACCCTTTGAGCTTGGAAGTAGCAGTTAGGCAAGCCAAGTTTTAGGCAGGTGAAGACTTGGATGACCTTTGCATAGAAAAACCTTTCTTGCCAAAATGAGTCATCCACATAACTCTATTCATCAGGTCTTGCTGGAAGCAAAATAAGGTAGACCAAAAGAGGTTTAGAATTGGTTGAAAGCAGGTTGGGACTTATTGTCAAAAAATTTTGTATCTTGTTTTACTTACTCTTTTACTTTGTGAGGTAGCCCTTTGTGTTCTACATTTCATCAGATTCTTGATTGTTCCAAGTTCATGTGAAGGTATTGTGTTCCATGATTGCACATGGAGATTTCCAGATCCCATTAAATGAGCAAAAGATCTACCAAAAAGTGAGAGACCAAGTCTTTATGAAATGACTAGTTTGCATTAAATGCTCTTGTCATGTAAACATAAGTTTCACCCATCACTAAGTTTTGCAAGGGAAGAGTGGTCAGTGTACATTGTAGTTGGTGTCAAATTACACAGCCTAACATGAACTAGGTTTTATGCCTTGTTGAAGAAATGGGGTGCAAATCAAGCAAATGACAGATCAGGGGTTAGGGGTTAGTTGTTCAGGAACAACTAAGAGAACCAGAATCAGATAAATTTTTTTCCCAAATCAGAGTTCTCATATTCTGGCTCTGGGATCAGGAAAATTCAATGTGTACATATCCTGGTTTCCTTTCTTCATGTCCTAGATCATTTTAAAAAGAAAAAAGTTATCCTTTCTTATTTTATCTAATTGCAAGCCTCTCCTTGGTCCAGCAGGCACTAGCCATAGGTGGCAATGACATCTACTCCATAATCATTGGCCAGTCTATTATTGCCCTTGGTGCACGAATTCAATACTTCTTGAAACTTTGAACCTCAGACTATTGTTAGGTCCAGGCCTAGTCTTATGCCTTGCTGCTGTATGAATAGAAACTCAAGTGAACCAGGTCTAAAGGTTTAAGACTTCCTGTGCAGATTTCCTTATGATTGGAATTGAAACAAGGGAAACCCAATGCCTAAAGTTCAAGGCAGGGAATCCTCATTGAACACAATCAGTGACTTGGATCTGGATGAGTTAGAAGTTGGCCTAGATCATGTCTCCAGGTGCAGCCTACTCTGGAAGCATCTTCTCAACTGGAAAGCGGAAAATGTAGCTATAGAGCCAGAAAGCAAGAAGTCGGTCATGGGTTCCACCACTGGTGAGTTGCTCATGATCAATTTACACACATCTATCCCATTACACTCAGAATGTCCATGATATTAGGTTCTAGCTTTGCATTGGAATATTTCATTGGCATCAATCAATGAAACATAACTAGAAATGAAGGATTGTATAATCTTGCTTTGTGTCATTTCAGAGCCTAGGGATGATCTTGAAGGGAAGAAACTAGAGGATGAGGTGATTGGAACCAACTTAGTTGCCTTTCTTGGTCCCAATATTTGGGGTGATGATGGCATCAAGGTATGAGAATAAGAGTTTGTCGAGAAACATCCCTTACATGTCACATCTAGCTTTACTAATATCATGTTTGCCCATCTTGTAGTTGGAATTGGATGTGGAACTTAGTGCCCTCTTGGGAATGGAAGATGAGTCTGTGGAAGGGCATCAGGCTGCTGCATCAGCAAATGCTGAGACTGATACAGAGACCAGTTATCCTACAGATCCCTCAGTGGATCCTGTGGTGTTGAAAGATGATTGTCCAAATACATTCGCCCTGGATGCTGCTACAGAAGAAACCTGTAAACCCAGGCGTCTTCGTCGAAATGTAAATCGTAAGAGGAAGGCTGACCAAACTCTTACACCTCCAGGAAGTGAGTTTCCTTTTCATATCTATATGGATTGTTCTGCATCAACTCACCTGGCAAAACAGGCACTGTAGCACAGCATCCATTCAGATGCAGCTGCAATTTGGTACATGGTATACCAGGCTAAAATTAAAAAATTCAGGACCCTGAATATTAACATTTTAGCCTGGTTGGACCAAAGCTTTGAGAGTTACAATACTGTCAGCATATCTGGTCTGAGCTTTATCTCCTCACTTCAGATTGCTACAATTCAAAATATTTGACCTTAAGACCTGATTCTGGTGTAATATTTTTTTAAAGACAAAGTTCAAGGTCAATTAAAACATTCACTGTTAGTGGGAATGCCAGTGTCAGTGCCTAATGTCATTTGGAATACATCATATTATGTATACAGCAATGAATGTGTTAAAAAATTATATGATCTAGAAAGGTGAAAGTTTGAATATGTTGATTTTTCTTTTTAGCCTTTCATTTGAATTTTGTTTTGTTGTACTGGATCAAAGCTACAAGAATACCAGGTGAAAGGTTTCGCCCCTAAGTGCTTTGAGATTCACATGGTTGTAATATTTTAGACTTTCAATACATGTGGAATTCTCTTCTGTCCTTGATAGAAGCTGCCATTCATTTCACGATAATTTTCCTGGCTTTGAAACATCTTCTATCAACAGGGTGTCTGAAAAGTCACTCCCTATTTTTACATTGTTATTGCTCCTAAACCAAAGGAGATATTGAAAATTTTCTTTAACTGAATTGATGCTTATTTTTTACTGTTTACTTTATAACAAAATTGAAAAGCTTTATTACAAAGCTAAAATTCAACGTAGGCTCCAGCATTGTCCACACACTTCTGTAACCTTACCAGTACATTTTCAACAGATTATCTCAAGAAGTCACCTGGTGCATTGCCTAGAATATCACAAATTTTGTTTTCAAGTTCATCAATGGTCCTTGGTTTTGATTTTTAAACTAATTCTTTCGCCAAGCCCCACAGAAAGAAGTCGCACGACATTAAATCTGGACTTCAAGCAGGCCATTCTGTTGGCCCTCGACGACCTATTAAATTAAGTCACTCGTTCTTCTATGCTTAATTTTTCAGCCATTATTCACTTATAATAGAAATGGTAATGATTAAGCTTAAAACAGTGAAAGAACGGTTACAATATCTCCTTCAGTTTAGGAGCAATGGCAATTTAAAAAGAGGGAGTGACTTTTCAGACACCCTGTATATAACCATCTGGAATAGTTGTATCCCTACACTACCAGTGGTGATTTACTTGCATAGTAACATTGTAGTTGGGCTGTCATTGATTAGCCAAGATCTGCTGTCTCTCGTGGTATTTCTCGGCAGGAATTTGATAGTTTTGAGATTCCTGTTGGTGTATTCGCGTGGGTGCTGGGCTGTGGCTGATCTAGGGCTAGCCCTTCTGTCAGTGAATGTCCATCTTATTATATATATATGTTTAATAAAGAATGGCTTTTTAAGTGATTACCTGGTAGGACAGTATTCTCCATCGGGAATAAGTTCCCATGGTTACAATGGTGCCAGTCCCACCCAGACCGATCTAGGCATGGGGGAATGAACCCCGCTCCTGAACCGAAACCTGACAGAGATTGTCTAAGCTATGGGAGGTTGGCCTGCAGAGAAGGGGCAAGGCTGAAGGAAGCTAAAAGAGAAAGGAAAGTGAAGAAAATTTCTGGGATATTTTCATATTGAGGATAAGGTGGTACACGAAAAAGGTCAATTACTTCCAGCATAACGAGCGCTTCATGAATAGCCAGAAGCTATTCTACCGAGAACTGGGAGCGAAACCCATAGAAGTGAAGAAGATTCCTGGCAAGGCGGAAGTGGAAGAATTCTGGTTGAACATCATGGAATGCCCGGAGAGCCACAACATCGATGCCACATGGCTGCGACGTCAGAGGGAGCTAACAGATACTCCTGAAATGAGTGACCCCCAGATTACAACATCTGATCTGAAGAAGGCACTCAAACAGTGAACTGGAAGAGCCCCGGACACGACCATTTTCTGAACTTCTGGCTGAAGCAATTACCATTGCTACATGAACAACTCGCCAGAGAAATGCAGAAAGTAGTGACGGACCCCTCGGAGATGCCGGATTGGCTCACGGCAGGAGTTGCCTACCTACTACCGAAAAACGCCGAGATCCAACTACCTAAGAATTACAGGCCTATTACCTGCCTGCCTTCAATCTACAAAGTGCTGTCTTCCATCCTAGCAGCACGAATCAAATGACACATCCATGACAACAACATCATTTCGGAAGAGCAAAAGGGTTGTCGGAAAGGATCATACGGCTGCCAGGAACAGCTCTTACTCAACCGTATGGTCATGGACAATGCCAGAACCAGGAAGAAGAATCTCTCGATGGCATGGATCGACTACCAGAAGGCATATGACTCGGTGCCCCATTCATGGATCATCGAGTGCCTCTTGATGTACAACATCAACCCTGTGGTGGTCAAGTCTTCTTCTATTCAATCTATAGGCACACCTTGAATGAGTGCAGTTTCACTGCCCATTCGGGTAATTGCTAAACTGGCCAACTACTCTTCATATCTACGTTCTTTACTCATATATATATATATATATGTATAATATGCTAATGCATGTTTGTAAGCCATGTTGTTGCATCATGCTGTTAAATATGTTAAATGCATAGAGTTTAGAATGGTCATAGAAGGTAGTGATCCCATTACCACATTGAAATCAAATAAAAGTACAAATGATACTAATAGCCTCACCTTATCCTATGGTATGGTAATGTTTCTAATTTTCCTATTCACCACAACATTAGGCTGAGCCTGATAGGTTACAACTTTTCCACCTCCACCTGGCCTTGCTACATACATGATTATGACATAATCACATCCATCACCTCTGATATTTTTCCCATGGTGAAGTCCTACAGCACTCTAAAGTGATTTTGCAGAGTTCACACAGCCATAAAAGGGTGTTGGTGCTAATAGTGTTCTGGACACTAGGGAGATCAAATAACAATTAAACTCATCTCTAAAACAGGAGAAAACATTAATTCCAACTGGCATTCATAGACATAGGCATTCATAGGCATTCATGACAAGCAACCATTTGCATTTAAAGAGTTAGTGAACTCATAATGAGATTACTGAGCAAACCAGAAAAAAAATTTAAACAGGACATTTACACTCTGATATGGTTATAAAGTACTAGACTCATTCACAAGGGGTGAGAATCATTATCATTCCTCATGGGTTCTGGAGGCATGTTATTTCCATTTAGGGACTGAAGTTGAAGCAACACCAGGTCAGCCCAAAAAGGTCAAAGTTACACCACCTCCATTAACTCATTCAACTGTAAATGAGCTTCCATATACTAACTTGGGAAGCCTCAATCAAGGCTGCACAACATACTCAATTCCCTTATGAAGTAACTTATATGCTCAATGAGGCAGAAGATGCCTGAGGAAGAGGGTGGCACCCATGAGTTTTGAACAAGTAAAGAGGGTTGGTGGACCCTGTGAATGATGCACACCCACAGCTCAAAGGCGTAAACCCTCTTCCGCTAGTTGCTTCTTCCACCTCATCGGGCCCAAAAGTTTACTCGTCAGTGGGGGTCGAACATGGTTTCCAGCCCTGAACGAAGCTTGCCAGGTTAGTATATAGAAAGGTTATGATTGCAAAGACTTGGACTGGGCCTAACGTATAATAGCCCTCGTCGTTACGTTTAGGACAAGATAGGTTTACCAATAGCCTTCAAACGGGGCTATCGTACGTTCTGTGAATTATCAAAAGCCTAACGATGTAAGTTTGTAAGTTTTCTAATGAACAATAGGAGATAACCTAACTTATGAGGCCAAAATAAAACAATACAATATCCGACCTCTTTGCACAACAGCGTGGCATGTCAAATGCGCATATACATCCTTCCATAACAGGTAGAATCCGACCCAGTCTACGCATGGCAAGCAAAACGTAGGTCTCGCCATTTATAACAGTGTTGCCCTCAGAGAGAGTGCTCCTCACATCCAAGTCTTCCTGCAGAGTCCCCACATCCTTCTTGGACTTCACGAATCGAGAAAAATTATGTATTTAATTTAGGTAGCCTTAATCACATTATAACCAGAATATGTACACTTGAAAAGGCAGTGATGTAGCGTGGCAAGAGCCCTGGTGCAAGGAATGAAACGGGGCCCGCTATGCAACTTCATACCCAATCGACACAACGACATTGTCATACCTCCATACCTCCTCGGACCCACTGGCCAGAAGTACTTTGAGTCTCCTTCTGCCGGATTACCTCCTTAAACAGGTCTATCTAGAAATTCCTAAGCCTTCCCTTATGTTGTACATGGGAAGAGATCGGGTTCTGTATGAAAAATACAGGGTACTGTTTATTCCAGGGCACCAGGGTAAGAATCGCTAAACCGGCTGCTAGGCGCCATCTCGTTTCGATTTGTAGAACCTATTTTCTGCCGATATGATGTAGATGCGGGGGGGGGGGGGGGGGGGTTTCCAAGTTCCCAGCAGGGGCG